CTGTTGTTATTTCCACTGCTAACCAGAACCTCTACTTTCTACCTGTGAGTATATGGACAATTTTAACCCCTTTTTTGTGGTAAAATAAACATAAAATAAAATTTCCCATTTAATCATTTTTAAGTACACAGCTCCATGACAGTCATATCATGTGCAGTCATCACCACAATCTGTCTCCAGAATTTTTTCATCTTCCCAAACTCTGTCCCCATTAAACAGCAAGTCCCTTCTGTCCTTTTCTCAGCTCCTGGAGACCTTTCTTTTATTTCCTGTCTAGATGCCTCATATAATGTTTTTCCTCTTGTGGCTGGCTTGTTTCACATAGACAGTGCCATCAAGGTTCATCCAAGTTAGGGCATGCATCAGAATTTTGTTCCACCAGAGGATGAGATAATATTCTACTTTAACCTTTTTAGATCTCAGTTGCCTCCTCTGTAAAAGCAGATCATTCAGTTGCCCATTCTTTAAAGGTTGCTGTGAGTGTTACAGGGCCATCCCAATGTGAAATGGGTTGATCTGAGTGTGGGTCCTCACCCACACGCTTAAAAAGGACTTTTAATGAGACTCAGCTGCAGGCACACACAAAAAGGTTAATAAAGGGCTACAGAAATAAAGAAAGGAATAACCCAGGGAGAGAGAGAGATATTGGAGAATGTGTCCTACCAGTTCCGCTGAGCTGAGACCCCAATAGCATACAGCACGCTAAAGGTTGGCAAAAAACAAAAAACAAAAATAAAACAAAATAAAACAACCCCCGGCGAGGCCCACTTGTCTCTGGTTATATACCAAGCCTGGCTGCTTAACTCCACCCTCCGTTCCCAGCAATTGTCCCTTCGGTGGTGATGACATTATGGGATTTGCAGTCCTTGGTACACTGGAGCTCTTTGGCCTGGGGTGGGGGTGTGGAGTCCATAAAACTTGAATTTGTGGAGTTCATTCAGGGCATCCTCTCCCCGCAACGTGAGGACTTAATGAAGCCATGAAAAATAATGGACAGTGTCCAGCCCGGCACTTGGACCCATGAGAGATACCAATTTAGGTTCTTTCTCTTCCCTTTCTAATAATAAGGACCAGGGACAAAAAATATACCTTTCTCATTTCCCTAGTTCTATGTCACACATAAGTGAGTACACAGTATTATTATGTCCAATTGAATTGGAAAATCTCTTAATTTAGTAAATTAAGACATCTGCTCCCAGGAACCAGCATTATAAAAGTGTTTCACACATCCTGTTACTCCCTCCCTTATAGATAAATAACATAAGGAAAATAAAAGTTGACTCCCATCTCTCAGGAAAACAAAGTTGGTGAAACATAGTGTAGGATTAGATCTCTAAGAGCTCAAAAGAAAGAAAGTTGAACAGTTATGTGGTAAGTGTAGAGACTAAGGGCAGACTGATAAATCAAACTGCAAGTAAAGATTACTGCAAGTAATCTTAATTTGCCCATGTCCTTTGACCTAGTCAACTAGACTTAATCACTGTGGAGTTACATTCCACTCCTTGCTGCTACAATATATTCTGTGGAAATTGCATAATTCTAGTGGGGAAATTGGTGCTTGAGTTGATAGTGTGACTGGGTCCCTAAAGTGCAAATCTGATGGAGACCCCTGCATGATATTGAGCTTGGTGAAAACATAATATCATGCACGAATTTTCCAGAATGGATATCAAATGGCAGAAATTAAATTTAAAACTTTGGCTCTGTTATAACCTTTCAGTTTAACTTTTCAGATTGATTTTCCCTATTGGCAAATTTCAAGGAAAATTTACTTCATATTCTCCTTGGATTCTTAAAATTTAGTTTTCCCCAAAACTCACTCTCTAGAGTTCCCCCAAAATAGGGCAATTTAGTACATAAGCTGTTTGTTGAGAATTTTATTTTCTTCAAAAGGAATTAATGATGCTATCCCTTGATTCATAGATGTATGCTCAGGAAGAAAAGTCAAGTTTTTAAAAATCTAACATTCTAGTAAATGAATCTTGCTTATCTAAGCTGAGAAAGCAACAAATTTAAGTTTATTGCATAAAAAATAATGTCTTTCCTTTATTTTCTCTTAGGAAAAAGTAACCTGGTAGAAGTTTTTGAGTATTTTATTAGTCACCTGAAATAATATTTTCCCAATTTGCTGAAAATAAATGTGTCATCTTTGTAAATAATAGACCTCTGATATAAGATATGTCTCAGGAAGGCCAACTCCATAATTGATTAGAACATAAAAGAATATTTTATTATGCTATCATAAACCCAGAGCGCAAAATATATCATAGGTATTATAGAGTTGGGGACATGCAGGAACTTCTCCCTAAAAATAAAATATTTAAATAAAAATATTTAAAAGATGAACCATAATGTTAGACAATATCATATACTTTTTTCTTCCAAGGACTGAATTTCTAAAGGTCACAGGGCCTTCCTCAAGGAGAGTAGCTTAGCAATTAGACAGTATTTACTTAGAAACAATTACAAAAGTGCCAGACCCCATGGTAGGGGATGCGGGTGCTGCAAAAGTGCCTGGGATCTCAGGTCTTGCATTTAATGGTAAGATGGGAATTCAGTGAGCAAAGCTCTATTTGCTGTCATGCCTTTCTACCAAACTAAATAGCCACTGTGATTCCTCTGTGTTCAGACAAATTATAAGAAAACTAAGTATCGATTGATGAAATTTCAGAGCAAATAGTTAAAATGTTCTAATAGCATTTTATTAAGTTGGGTGTAGGTAAATCAGTTTAAATAGTTAGAAATAGTCTGTCTTCGGGACAGCCACATTAAAAAATAAAAACTGGCTACAAGTATGGTGGAAAGGGCCTGCTCCTTCCCTTTTTAGCTATAAATCCTAAGATGTTTCCCCTCTCTGCTCAATTTCTTCATCTGTTATGTGGGGATAATGACGTCTACCTGGGAACTGCTGTGGGCATCTTTTTTTGGATGAATATAAAGAAATCCAACAGATAGTGGGGGCTCAATCAATAGGAGCTATTAATAATATTTCTAACCAGCATTTCCTTTATAAATATCTACAACTTCCGCACTTAAACACCTCCACTTACGATTTAAAATACTCTCAGTATAATGCTTAGCAGTCAACAAAATATGTTTCCCAAAGGTAAATTTTAATCTGTCACTTCTTTGCGAAATTTAACTCATGTTGCAAATTAATCAGGGATGAGGGTTGTACTGAATTACTGAAATGTTCAGTTTACTTTAGTATGATAAATGATGTCATTCATTTCACTTACCCAAGGGGAAAATGGCAACCTCCTCTGAAACTGTGCAAACCAGCTGAGAAATGTGTAACCCTCTTAGCCTCAGGTGTTAGTGGTGACTTCTCCCCTCCTGTTTGGGGTTCGGGAAGGTCCACAGGCTTGGTGGTTTAACTGCCTACACAAAGTGTAAGTCTCACAGTGTCACTTCCCAGCCAGGAAGGCTGCTGCACTTGAAGAATGAATCCTAAGATGCTGGGAGGAGCCTGCAGGTGCTCATATTTCCCGCACCATATTCATTCCAACACCCCAGAGAGCTTCCAGAAGAACAGCATCACAGAATGTGGTTGTCAGAAAACCCCGCTCTGTGAGGAGTGAATTGATTTCATCATTGATGGCAGCATTTTAAGTGTCTGGAGGTGTGTGTTTGCTTTTCTTATGTAACCACAAAATAGCGGTTAGTTTCTCTTTAATAGAGAAGAGTGACAGAAGTAGCTGTTGACTTTAAAATGATATAGGAACTCTTATTCTGAGAATGAACTTGGTGAATTTAGTCATGACAGACCTAGTTCTTACGTTTTCCTCTCTCGCCTTTCCCAGGCACCGTCCTTCCTCCTTTGGCTTTTTCCTCCTTTGCAGATAGAGAGAAACCAGAGCAGGTTCAGCAGAAAGGGTTATTTGCAATGCCTGGCTCCACATGGGTGACTTTTTCTTGTCTTCTTTCAAAAGTAAACACAGCAGGATGTGCTCTCACCAATTCCTGAGCACACAGAAATGTGGGAACTGTGAGGAGCTAAAGAACTTCAAAGGACAGTGGAGGAGCTTGTGGCCTCCCTACCGGGCATTTTAAAGGGCGGCACTGTCCCTCAGGGAAGAAGGCTGACATCCTAGCTCTTGACTTTCTTGGAGCTCTGCAGAAGGAACTCCAGATAGGGAAAGGACATAAAGGCTATGGGGTTTTGACTCTAGCTTTGGGGCCTCCCAAACCTTAGCAGAAAAAGAAACCCTTGTATTTTATGTATTTCATTTCATTTAGGAGAAACAATAAAAAGAGTTTGAAATTGACTTTGTAAAACTGTATGCCTTGTGGATTTTGTATTTTCCCAGCATATTCCCGAGGACAAATAGGATGCTATGATGTAGGGAGTCTTTATTACTCCATTCTTTATAAAAAATTAGAAGCCCAAACAGGCAGGTGACCTTGGAACATCAAATTCAACATTAAGTTGATCTCTCACCTCCTAGTTTGTGTTCCCCTTTGCTGTGATCTAGCATCACAAAATGGGTGGCAAAGTGTACCTCAAAATCCAGTAACCAAATTCTGCTCATATCCTGCTCTTGTCTTAGAGTGAGAACTGTTAACTGTAACATTAAAGATAACTGACCCCTAAAACTACAAAAGGTCAATAGAATGCAGACTGAGAGTGACCATATAGAGTGGAAAGCTAGATAAAATTGAGAACTAATCTTGCTAAAAAGTCTTTATTTAGATTCAACACTCTACCTGATCAAGGGAAGGGTGAGGAAAATATAGCTTCAGAACATTATGATGAAGATTCAATTTTAGTTGATGAGTCAATTTAGTTGAGGTAGCAATAGAATGCAACTATTCATTCTTGCCTACATGGATGATCTTCAGTGGCTTGTAGAACTCTATTCTATGTGGAATTGAAAAGACCTGGAGAATATCCATTGTTCTAGACATGTTGTAAAAGCACACTGACAAATGCAAAAAGATGCTCAACATCATTACTTGTTAGGGAAATGCAAATCAAAACAATGACATATGCTTCCTACCTAGCAGGATGGCTGCTATCAAAAAGCAGAAAATCAGTGTTGTAGAGAAACTGAGACCCTCATGCATTGCTGATAGGAATGTGAGATGGTACAGTTGCTGTGGAAAATAATTTGATGGTCCTCAAAAAATTAAACATAGAATTCTCATATTATTCAGCAATTCCACTCTTGAGTATATACCTGAAAGGATTAAAAGCAGGGACTCAGATACTTGTACACCAATGTTCATAGGAGCATTATATAAAATAGTCAAAAGATGTAAAACAACCCAAGTGTCCATCAACAGATGAAAGATAAGCAAAATGTAGCATATAGATGCAATAGAATATTATTCACTTATCAAAAAGGAATTAAATTCTGATGCATACTATAATATGCAACATTAAGCAAAGTGAAATAAGTCAGACACAAAAGGACAAATATTGTATGATTCCATTTAAGTGAGATACCTGGGATAGTCAAATTCATAAAGACAGATAATAGAAAGGGACTGGCTAGGAGGAAGAGAGGAATGTTTGATGGACAGGGTTTCTGTTTGGGAAAATGAGAGAGGTCTGGAGCAATGGATGCACAACAATATGAATACATTGAATGCCACTTAACCAGACACTTAAAAATGGTTACGAGAGTAAATTTTATGTGATATATATTTTATCACAATAAACATATATAATAGAATAATTAAATATGGATTTATTATCCTGGCAACAACAACAAAAAAACATGCCTTGGGCCTCCCCCGTGGTGCAGCGGTTGAGCGCTGGGCTGCAAAGCTGCCCGCAGCCTCTGCAGCGCCAGTTCAATCCCCAGCCACTAGGCAAGGGTCCCACATGGCGCGCAGACCTCTCCTGCCACCCGCTGCTCCCCTCAGCAGTGTATCTCAGTCAGTCTGCCTGTTCTGTTCCCTGCTCTGGCTCTGGTGAATTCTCTTACCCTCCCGCACTTCTGACTGTACCCAGTGCTTGTATAAATACATAAATAAATCTTTAGGAAAAAAAAAAAAAAACACCAACAAATTTCTTTGTATCTTGCAGAGGTAGTTAAGTCCATGGGTTTAGAAACTCTGACTAAGGAAAGATAACTAAAGGATCCAGGGCTATTCACAATTAAGAAGAAAAAGTACTGCAGATGTCAGTTGTCCCTGACTGGCTACAAGGATCTCCTGTGGCAGAGGCATCACACTATTCAGGTTACTCAGAGTAAACTTGGGCACAGAACCAGGCTCAATGGCAGAAATGACATCAGGGAGGTAAAGCAGCAGTAAAGAGCCTCTACCCAATTAGATACATACTTTTTAAAGGAAACTCAGAGCTAACTGCACACTTGATGATTCATAGTATTATCTACAAAGCACTGTTAGGCAACATGTGATTCAGAGTGCTAAAATGTAGGATTCTCGAAAGGGTCAAAACCTGTAAATTTAGAGAAACCAACATCCTCTGAGTTCTAACATATGTTACTGTGCATCCTAAAATTGCAGTGATGAGTCCTAAAATTGCATTAAAATAAAATATGAGGGCCAATAAGACATAGGGCTAATAATAATTACATTCACGAAGATTTCTTTCTTTACAATCCCTTCCCTTACCAAAACGTCTTCCCTTACTAATACTCGGTCATGTCACTTTTAATTAAACATAAATTGAAAGTAATGAATGCCTTTATAGGTAATTTAGAAATAGTTAAAACAAAAATTTACAGCATAGAATCTGAACTAGGAGGTTGAATCTTACTCCAACCCAGACTTTCCTCAGAATTATGTGGAGAGAACTCTTCTGTCTTCTGTGTCACCTTGATCACATCAACATGCCCTCACAGCTAAGCAGGGACATTCTCAGCCATCTTGGTGCTGCCTGGGTTTTCAGAAGTCAGAAAGAACCAGTAATTTTAAAACGCCCCTCCCCGTACCCTTCAAACCTGGTCATACCAACTGTAGATCTGAAACCCAGAATTCTGTTTAACATTCCCAACAGAACAGCTTCTATGCAACATTTCTTCTCTCTGCTGAGAGGTCATTCCTATGTAGAATGTCTCCTACCTCCAACCAGAAAGCAGCCACCTACCGGAGGCCCAGCAAGGAAATAATCAGAATTATTTATAGACAAGTTGAATGGGATTTGCATGCCCAGGTCCTTTTTACAGTGCTGCCCCCCAAATTTAACCACCCATAGCCCCAACCATGGCTGCTCCAAAGGATGCCAGCCAGAGAGTAGCACAGTGAACATTCAGCCTGGGCAACTCCTCTTGCCTCAGCACTCAGGTAAGAGGCATTTGCCAGCAATGGAAGGCAAGATTTGGTGGAGCTAGATGGAGCCACGGACGCTCTTACTGCTGCTGGAAGTGATGGTGCAGGGCAGCAGCCTACCCTCTCTTCCTTTCTTCCTCCCAGTTTTTCCTGAAGGACAATTGTTCTGTTTTTGTCAGTATTTTACTCTGGTTCCATCTCAAGGCAGGAAGTATAACTTTAGGTGCCCCAAAGGAGGTGGGGGGCAAGAGGACACCATGAATGAGTAACCAAAACAAGACACCATTTTCCTGTCCTCCCTGACCTGAGTTTGCAAAGATGAGAAGCATGGCTGTTTGTTGGGATCAGCTGAGGTGAAAGTGACTTCTGAGGGCCCTAGGGAAGCAGGAGATGAATAATACCTTTTAATCATCATGTCTCTGCAATAAAGATCAGCCGCAGGGACTCAGTGGGAACCCAAAGGTTTCTTGACAAAGATGTCATAACTCACTCAGTCAAAAGTAATTAAAAATAATTACTTACAGAACAGAACTTAGCTTCCAAGAGATCAAAGAACTGTGTGTGCTTCCCAAACAGAGACCCTGAGAAAGGAAGACCTTTCACTGAAGAGACCCCTGATGTTACCTCAGAGGCCATAGAATTCCAGTCGCCGCTCTACCATGATTAGTTTTGCGCCCTTGGACAGATGTCCTCACCTCTCTGAATCTGTTTCTCTCTCTGTAAAATATGGATAAGAATATCCACTTGCATGTGTCATCAGAGTATGGCACTGAATGGAAGGAACAGGGACCAGAAGTGAGATACTTTAAACAAATGTCAGATTTTGTTATTCCTCCTCTCATTTCCCCCTTCCTCCTAAACTGAGGTACAGATAAAGAAAATAATTTATTGCCTTTTACAAGATGAAATGCTATTTTTTTAAGATTTATTTATTTATTTATACAAGCACTGGGTACAGTCAGAAGCACGGGAGGGTGAGAGAATTCACCAGAGCCAGAGGGGAGAGGAGAGCAGAACAGGCAGACTGACGAAGTACACTGCTGAGGGGAGCAGCAGGCAGCAGGAGAGGTCTGCGCGCCATGTGGGACCCTCACCCTGCAGCTGGGGATCGAACTGGCGCTGCAGAGGCTGCAGGCAGCTTCATAACCCAGTGCTCAACCGCTGTGTCACCGGGGAGGCCTGCTATTTTTTTTTTTTTAAATAAAAGAAAGAGAAAAGAATCTCCCACTTCCCTACTGCCTTTCACAAATGCCAGTGGTGCAGGACTAAGGACTGTGTGCAGGCTTCTCCTCCAGTCTACCAACCCAGCACCCAACCAGCACCTCCTCCCTTCAGTCTCCTAAGCATCACCCGTGTTCTCTCCACTCAGATCCCCAAAGTTGGGAGACATTGAGATTTGGGGGAGGGGGGAGATTTCCAAGATATTTTAGATAATGCTACTCTTAGAGTTCAGTGTTTTCTTCTCAAAGCCTAAGAGCATGACAGATTTGTAGGCACAACACACCTTTTCTTCTGCCTTCTCTCCCCAAGTTCCTAACAGGAAGAATAAATCAGAATTTCAAATTTTTCAACCTCAGGAAAATCATCTGTGCCCAGAAGATGGTTCCAGTTTGCTTTGTGCGTCAGTTTAGGGTGAGGACAGGACATTGAAGCCTGATGCTCCATTTGGTTGCCATTTTCACAGTCCCCCCCCCTTTTTTTTTCCTTGCAAGGAGGTCAAAGAGAATTGACAGTTCAGTGAGGAGAGGGAGGAGGAAAACGATATTGGAAAGTGAGGGAAGGAAGTAGATTCTTAAAGAATAATAAAACTGTATTTTGCTAGAGGATAATTCTTTTCCCTTCAGAAAATTCTTTCAGTTATGTTCTTATTTGTGTCTTACTAAAATCTTGAGGTGGACTGTTTTTTTTTTTTAATTTATTTGTTTATGCAAACAAGAACTGGGGTGTAGGCCAGAGGCATGGAGGGTGAGAGGAATCACCAGAGACAGAGTGGGGAGCAGAACAGGCAGATCTACTGAAATACACTGCTGAGGAGAGCAGTGGGCAAGTCAGGAGAGGTCTGATGTGCTGTGTGGGTAGCTCCCTGGCCAGGGATTGAACTCGTGCTGCAGAGACTGCAGACAGCTTCATAGGTTGCTTCTCAACCCCTTGCACCACCAGGGAGGCCAGGGAGGTGAACTGTTTGTCAGTCTGGTTGCCAACACAGGGTTCCAAAGTCACTGTGTCCTGAAGGAGATTGCTGGCTTCTCCCCGACCTGAGCATCCAGGATACAGAGGATCACCAAGGTGATCACCACGGTTGTTCAGCACCATCACCTCCATGACCCCATCTGGAAGTTAAACCTCCAGCCTGGCTCCCCTACCTTGGCGGCTGTGAGGAAACTGAAGGGAACAGACCTGGGGCCCTGCTCAGCCCCATGCCTAGGCTCAGATCTGTGCCCTAAGTTGCCTACACCCTCAAATGCCCTGTTTGGAGACTACCAACTTCACGTATACTTTTTCCTCCAGTTCACCATCCCTGGCATCACATTCCTCCTTAATCCCAGAGTCTTCCTTCCCACCCACTGGTATCTGTGCCTCCCTCATCTCTCTCCTCTCCTCACCTCTGCTCTCCCTGCTCAGCAGTACCTGCAGGGTGTGTCTCACCATCCCTGCCAACCTCCCAGGACCCTCTGTCCTGAATTCACATTCTCACTTCCTTTGGCATGGAGCACTTGAAGTGACCCAGAGGGAAGGGGAGGATCTGATCCCACTGCTCGGTAGGAGAAGAGGAAATCTCTGAATCTGCTGCAGTCTACTGTCACGGCTGCCCTAGGGTGTGCTCCTAAAACCCCCATGGAAGGTAGGGAGGCATTTCCTTGTAAATCCATTGTTGGTGGCTTCATAGAACCATTTAGTATTTTTTAAAAATATGCATCTGTGGTTTCAATGTCAT